GCAGCATTGGACCCCTGGGCAGTCAGGTCCTGGACATGGAAATTTCGCTTTTCTTCACTTCCTGCCTGTCATCTTCACTCATTCCACCAGATGGAGCATGTCTACTACACAAACTTCCAATCCTGAGGCTTTGAGGCTGGAAGATCTACCCTGGTCTGTTACCCTGGTCTGTGCTTCAGGCTGTTTTCTAGATTCAGAGCTAAAGATACGAAAGAGAAAAAGGGGAGAAAGAGACAGACAGGGGTGGGGGGGAAGAGAGGGAGAGTGAGAGAGAGAGAGAGAGCCACTAGGGGAAAGAAAAAGAATACAAACACAAGGGCAGCATGTCTTCCTAGCATTTTCAGTGAAAGGGATTTCATGTGCATTCTAAATTGCAGAGACAGCTGGTAATAGTGCAGGAATATAGCAGTTGTCTGGAAAACAAGGAATCTGGGTTCCAGTCCTAGCTCTGTCTTCAGGTGCCTTGGATGGCTTTGGCCACCTAAGTCATTTCATGTCTGGTGGCCTCAGTTTCCCCACCTATACAATGAAGCTTTGGGTCAGATGATCTCAGAATCCATTCTGGCACTAAACATTTATGTTTCTGTCTCTGAAGCAGAGCCAAGAAAAAGAGCCTGAACTTCCTGGAACATAAATAAAACAGCTGGATGAATCAGGCCAGCATGTTCTGAAGCGTTGAACTTTGACATCTGGCCCTCTGCTTCCACTGAGGACAAATTGCTGTTATTAGGTTCTTTGAGCTGGAATAGAAATCATGACTAACTTCTACTGAGCATTAACCATAGGCTGGGTTTTACTGGGTATTGTCCCTTTTCAGCTTCTCAACACCCCCTGTGAGCAGCTCCCCACTCCCTGCTTCAGAGGCAGAAACCTAAAAAGAAATTCTCAGAAAGGGCCCAGACATGGCTATGGGCAAACGGCTTAGTTTTTGAAAAGACATTTTTCATCTACTTTATAGTTTTGCCTCGGGTTGGCCCCGATTAAACACAAGAAGGAAGAGTTCAGGTGCGTCACTGGTATTTATTTTCGCCGATGCCCTTGTACGCTTGCAACCGCGTGCATCCCCAC